AGGAGAAAGGTACAAACTATGTAGAATTGAATTGAATTTTAGTATAAAGGTTTATTTGTGGCAGAAATCCTGATGCCTACCCACTGAATAATTTTTAATATAGAATGTTTCATAGATACTTTTTTCTCTTCTGAGATGAGATTTGAGTAGCTATGTTTCTAGTATAATATCGAATATTATTATTAAACTGAAAATTTCAGAATCGAGCTAATTTTTTTTTGCATAATTTTCCAGCTTTCAAAACAAATTTATGATTTTATATATAAAGGCAACCACAAAACTTAGTAGCCAAGTCTTCAAATTGTTCAAACTAAATTGTTCAGAATATTTGGCACCTCCTAGAATGGCCATTATTCTGAGCTTTACAATATCCTCTTCAGCTATTTTTGGAATATCTTCTAGCTCATTCTAGCCAGAAGTGAAAAAAAAAAAAAGGCTCCAAAAGCCATGCTAGCAAGTGGTAGATATCTTGAGGTTACACCAGGTATCTCCAGCATCACTGGACTCTTATGACAGTATGTTGCCAAGAATCATTTTGTTACATATGAGTCAACAGACATCTTCTATGGGGCCCTTTCTCCATGCACTCACATACACCCAAGTAAGCATCTAGTAGGTGTTCTCTTGTTTGTCACAGAATGGTCTTACAAAGGCTCAGCCACTACTTCTCAGGCAAAGATGTCTCATAGTGGTGCTACATGGATAAGGTCTACTTAGACTCTAGGCAAGTCAGGAAATCCTAAATCTCTCATTTTACTTGGAATTCTCTTGATAACTTAAAGTGTGAGCTTATTTTACAAACATGCCTTATAGAATAACACATTCCTTTTCCATGAGATCGTGTATTAGCCAACATTACCATCACCACCTTCATTCTGTAAAGCGGCACGAAGATACAATCTAATAATATGAAACAAAAATAAAATCTCAGCCTGGACTATCCAGAAGCTAGAATGCAGATATGACCCTCCCACATTCTATGTGCAGCACATTCGATTAGACCCTTCTCCTTTTTAAAAAAATTGACTTCGTATTGATTCAGCTCTTTTCCAAAAGAGTTTTGAGACCACCTGCAGAAAAACTGGAAAGATAGCATATCACATTGGGGATTATTAGTGATGTAATGAACCAGTTTCCTCAGTAATTTTCAAAATAATTTGTATGACTTATTTCAATGGGCACTTTCAATAAAAATCCATGTAGATGGCCATCCTGGTGATTCCTCTTGATGAATGATAGAAATTAAAATATTTGCAGGAAAAGTTTGGTAGCTTTTCTCTGGAATATAATTTCCTGAATATAATTTTTCACAGAGAAGCTTTTATTGGGGGCTAGAGAGCAAACAGTTTGTAGAATACCTTCTAGTGAGGTTGAGGAACTGCTGATAAGGGAACAAAATGAATAATGTATAAATGAGAGACTTCTCAGTGCTGCATGGAGGTCAGCCTCAGAGGAACCTGCAGGCAAAGACAGATCTTCTCCTGAGAGTGGTTTTGGATTTGGCCCTTGAAAAACTGCTCAGGTGGAGGGCCTGGGTTCCATTAAGTGCAGATATTCCAGATATATGTGGCTCTCTAGAAGTAATGGGGCTCCATTTGGATTTCACACCCACTCATTAGTATAAATGTCATTGTATCTCTTGAGTAGACGATATTATACAAAATATTCATGTCACATGTTTTTCCTTAAATATACTTAATGATGTTCAGTATATAGCTAGGTATAGGATAGATTGAGTACCCTTGCAGTCGTAAACATTTAAAAATAAATACAAATAGATTCATTCCTATGTAAAAATGATAAATATATATGTACATAGAATAATACATACATATATAATATAATATACATGTACACATTTTATACTGGTTTACATATGATTACAATGCCTTGTGGGCTTACATCTCCCTTTATCTTTAGTTTCTTTTTTTTTTTTCCTTTAAGCATTGTGTCTGCCTTCTACTGTTTCTTCCACTTCCTTCCTTTTTCTCTTCTTTTCTTCTTTCTGTCCGTCCGTCCTTCCTTCCTTTCTTCCTTCCTTCCTTCCTTCCTTCCTTCCTTCCTTCCTTCCTTCCTTCCTTCCCTCTTCTTTCCTTCCTTTTTTCCTTCCTTCTTTCTTTAAAATACTTTTGTACATATCATGATTGTGCATAAGGGGACACCAAGGGTTATGGCTTGGTCTCTGTAGGTTGGGGACATAGAATAAGTTCAGAATCCTTTTATGCTGTATGACCCTTGGCTAATACTGTTGTCAGAATGTCTTATGGTATGAAATGCATAATGAACTGGGATTCATTATTTCACTCAACCAATATATTTGTGTGTACTCTTAAAGGGATTTTGACATGACCAGACTGTTGTTTAATTTTTGTGTTGGGGGCGTTTTTTTCTGACAGCGAGTTGTGTGAGCCATCATGTGTTAAATGCCTTGTGTTGGGAGGGTGTTGTTTAGAGTTTCTTGCCAGCTGGATGCATCGGGGATGTAGACAGCTATAATATGGAGGTGTGACCCTGAGATACTGAGAAGCTGTTTGGTTTGTTATAGCAACTGCGAGAGTTGATAGCTGAACACAAGCCTCATATAGATAAGATGAACAAAACAGGGCCGCAGTTATTGGAATTGAGCCCGGAGGAAGGCTTTTCCATCCAAGAGAAGTATGTGGCAGCTGACACCCTTTACAGCCAAATTAAAGAAGATGTCAAAAAGCGAGCGGTGGCCCTGGATGAAGCCATTTCTCAGTCTACTCAGGTACTCATTTACACCAGAAATATGACTGAGTTCTTCCACATAGGAAACAGTGGAGCACATAAAGACGTTTTCTGGGATATCCTGATTAAATTTCAACTAAAATGATTTCACTATATTATCTTTGAGTACGGATGTCTTGGCCTCTCAGAGGTGATACTTGCTTGAGTCCAGTCCTTATATTTCTTGCCTGCTTATAAATACAGTAAAAAATGTTTCAGTGACTTTAGAAACACACAGTTGTCATCATTGTCCAAATGTTTAAGTAAGTGTCCATCCAGAGTAGTATGCAATATTTGCCAAGATAAAAGAAAGCATATTATCATTATTAATAAAATACTTTCAGGAAGGCAATAAGAAAGAAAGAATCATAGGCCAAATAAGAAGAAAAATATATAAAGTCAGAAAATGATTTTTTTTCTTTTTTGAAGATATCTTTTTTTTTAGAAATTTGAATTTGTAATTACTTACAGATTTCCCATTTTCGAGGGTTGGTTTTTATTATTCAATATACTGACATGAGAGTGGTTCGTTTCCTATAATCCCGAGTGATAATTCTTTTAATGTTGAGGCTACTGTAGTATCTGTGAGTGAACGAGTTTTTGTAACTTTGCTTCATTGTCTATGATAGCTTTGCAAACAAAAGTTTAAAATTCTTTCACGAATTTGATTATGTGTTTGACCATGAATTAAATACAAACTTGTATTACATCGTCGGAGGAGGTTTTGTTTTGTTTAATGTTTTACATTTTTCAGTCCAAGAAACTCATAACTTAAGAAATCCCTTTAATCTAACCAAAACTGCCAATGAATTTTACATTTATTAATATAACTTTTTTTAGGATTGCAGAGTAATCAGTAAAAGTGAATAAAACAGTCTGACAGGCAAATACTTGGATTATTAAAATTTTTAATTTTTTAAATTTTTAACTAAATTTTAAAAATTAATTTGAATTAAGATAAAAGATAAAGCAGTAGATAAGATGCTGCTGACAGGTGGCCCAGCTATATGTTAACAGATACCATTTCTTAATGAATACACTCAATTATTTGCAAGAAACAGTCCAGTCTACATTAAATTGTGCGGCGCACAGGAGTGCATTTAAATCGTGATTTTGGGATGTCTTGCTACACCAGCTGGGTATAGCTCTTTGGATAGGTCTGTTAACAAAGGGATTAAGATTTAGTTCTTGATGATGACATTAAATGGATTTTTTTTTTTTTTTAATTTAAATTTCACATTCGGTGTCACATCTTTTCCATGTAAATGATTCATTTGCTTTACCACCAGTTTCATGACAAGATCGACCAGATTCTGGAGAGCCTGGATCGTGTCGTGGAGCGCTTGAGGCAGCCGCCCTCCATCTCTGCTGAGGTGGAGAAGATTAAGGAGCAGATCAGTGAAAACAAGAACGTGTCAGTAGACATGGAGAAGCTACAGCCATTGTATGAAACTCTTAAACAGAGGGGAGAGGAAATGATTGCTCGATCTGGGGGCACCGATAAAGACATATCTGCCAAAGGTAATCATTTCAGGATAAGGAAACAATTGATCTTTACTTTTAAAACAATTCTGAATGTTCATGCTGTTTACCGACAATCCAGTTGCATATCTAGATGCCAGACTTTAGAAAAGGTATTACAAATATGACGTGTTTGGGGTGGAAAGGCTGTGTACATAAATCCCTTGTGAATGTTTTCCTGTGTTTGTGAAATCAGTCGGTTAAATTCGAAGTGTGCCATTATACAAAAACCATGCATTCTCTGGACCTTTTAAGCCAGTTGGTCAAAGCATAATGCCACTAAGACCAAACCTAGGGATTTTTTTTTTTCTCATTAATGACTACACTGCCTTACATAATGGCTACTGTATCCCATAGTCACAGAAATGGCAACCATTGTAAAGATAAGAGCTGGGGGTAGAAAGAAAAAGCATGTGCGTAAGTCAGTGGAAATTCATGTTGAGGGTACTCTGGAAACAAGCCCAAAATACATATCCTATGTTGTTATATTCCTGGGACTGAACAGATGCCTTTGTTCTTGATTCGGAGAGCATAATGGAGACACTTAGATGGTTATTTTGCTTTCCTTGGAATGAAGGCCAGCCTTGGTGAACTTGGAATACAGTGGACTTAGGTCTACTCTGAGCTCACCTTCCTTGGAGCATCCACTTTTGTCAGGAAGAACCTTGGTTCAGGAGGAACAGGACACTCTCAGATCTTACATTTGTCTGGAACAGGCTGTTGAGCCCAGTGATGCCCACTAGACAGGGTCCATCTAAAATTTGTTCCAGTTTTAGATACTTATTAAATTGAATCATTGTTCCTGCGTGAACCCAAATATTGTGTTTCATGGCTTAAATGAGGCTAACATACTGCCTTTTTGATATTGTTTTTGCTCCTTAGCTGTTCAGGATAAGCTCGACCAAATGGTTTTCATTTGGGAGAACATACACACACTGGTGGAAGAAAGGGAAGCCAAACTACTGGATGTAATGGAATTAGCAGAAAAGTTCTGGTGTGATCACATGTCGTTGGTAGTTACCACTAAAGATACTCAAGATTTCATCCGGGATCTGGAGGATCCTGGAATTGATCCCTCAGTAGTGAAACAACAGCAAGAAGCAGCAGAGGTAAGCAGAATATTTCATTTAAAGTTAAATTAGTTGTAGTACAATGTAAACTGGATTCCTTTGGTAAATATTCAGAATTACTCTATTAAGATTTATATTTAGTTCTGAAAGTAGAATGCATAGTGATATAGTAGGAGATAGAATACACCCACAAATGTCACTTAGAGTATATTTTAAAAGATTCTCTCAATTCCCACTGCTCCTGCCTTGTTTTGGGGCCTTATTTCTCTCTCTCTCTCTCTCTCTCTCTCTCTCTCTCTCTCTCTCTCCTTTTCCCCTCTCTCTTCGTCCCTCCCCTTTTCCCCGCTCCCTCCTTCCCTATCTCTCTTCCTCTCATTTTTCCCCCATTTTGGGGGGAGGTTTCTAAAGTAGTCCAGAAGTGGTGTCCTTGCCTGCAGAGTCTCTTTCCTTGCCAGGCCTCTAACTTTGCTTCCAGTCATCTCTAGATCTGTTCTTATCTTGTTGCTGCTTAAAACCCCAGAAGCATCACTGCCTACTCCCTAAAGTCTGAACTCCCTAGTATAGGGTATCGGTCATTTACATCCTAGCCTAGCCCATGCCTATATTTCCAAAGCCATTTTTTCCCTACTGCTTCTTTATGAAGCTCCTTCTCTTCTGATACACGAAGTGGCTTTTGCCCAAACTGCCGGCTCTTTCTAGCATCTGTTATCTTGGCAAATTTTATTTCTTCATTCTAGAATGCACCTCTTGTCACTCTTCTGGCAAATGCTGCTTAAACTTCAAGGTTCAGTTGGATTGTTACCATTCATGTAAAATATTTTCTCGTGTACTTAGCAGTGTTAGTCTGTGTTCCTGTAATACTTTCCTCATGCAAAGGCACGTACTAATGACTTATCATTGATTATACCTTGCCTTTCCTAATAGACCCAGAGCCCCTTGAGTGGAATAGTTATATATCTGTTTTTTCTTTGTATTCTCAATGCCTAGTTTAGGGCTTATTTCATTCTTGGTAAAGGCTTCTTGAATTAAGAAATATATTGAACCAAGAAGATGAAAGTAAAGGTAGAATACTGCATTTCTGTCACAGGGTTGTTTTTTGTTTGTTTGTTTTTTTGTTTTTGTTTTTGTTTTTGACAGCTTACATGTCCTAGGGTAAAAATACAAATCCAGAGCTAGATTATCCTAAATCTACTAAATAAATATATTATCTTGTGTGAGGTCTTTGAACTTATGTTTTACAAAAGTCTATTTTAAACGTGTATTGCCATACTAGTCGGTTTGAAAAGCAAAATGTCTTTCTATGCTTTTCAGTATTGTTGATATTTTTTTAAAACTTTGTTTCGATATTTTTTATGTAGAATTATTTCCTAAATATCGTGTGTAATAAACGTTTAATATTCGTTACTCAAAGGATGCTGTTTTTTCTTTAAAATATTCTTCTGTTTTCTCTTTGAAAAAATTTATTGCAGAAACTTAGAAAACGGGAAGAAAATAAAAATTGACCGTAATCTCAACCCCTAGAAATAACTGTCGTTAATATCTGAGTGCATCTTTTTAGTTTCAGTGTGGTTTTGCTTAAAACTCTAAGGCTGCTATTTCTTATTCTAGTCCATAAGGGAAGAAATCGATGGACTGCAGGAAGAGCTGGATATTGTTATTAACCTGGGTTCTGAACTCATTTCTGCGTGTGGGGAACCTGATAAACCCATTGTCAAGAAGAGTATAGATGAGGTACGACTAGCATGTTGTTTACTCTTATCAGAATTTTTTTTTTGAAGATTTTATTAACTAAGCATATTTGATAGAAGTAGTTGAAAATGTATGACATTAAAAGAGTTCTTCTAATATTTATATTGTAGTTAAATTCAGCATGGGATTCTCTAAATAAAGCTTGGAAAGACAGAGTGGACAGACTTGAGGAGGCGATGCAGGCTGCTGTTCAGTACCAGGATGGACTGCAGGTAAAAGGATTATAATGTGTCTGCTGGAAGAAAGAATCGTGTTAATTGATGTCTACAAATTTATACATTGGCATCATCCCGTTGGCTGCAATTGTGTGTAATTTCCTTGTCTACTTCCATTGATGTTTTGCCTTTTAGAAGGTATTTCTGACACTTGAAAAATATGTACACATCTAAACACATTTTTATATACACATTCAGTGACATTTACTTTGAAAAGAAGTATTTTAATTTTTTTAAGTGAAAGTAAATGTTCTCACATAGTATTTTTCACAAATGGCTCAGCACCAGACAGTGAAATGGAACTGAATCTGAGTTCTGTGCTAAAGTTGAGTGGATTAAGGTAAAAGGAGTAAACACTATCTAAAAATATCACCAAGTTTAACTAAAGTCAGAAGTAAGGAAATTCAACTCAGAGCCGCTGTTCCCCCATGAACTAAAATAGATTTCTATTTTATTAGGTCATAATCTGTGGTGTAAAAAATGTTTTCCTCTTTTTTGTATATATAATTTTTTTAATAGTTATTTTTCACATCCCTTCAAGGTTCTCATTCAGTTCACTAACCATTATTTTTTAAGTTTTAATTTAAAAATTATCTCATCAGTTGAGGTCAATTCAGATCCCTACCTTCTTTAACCTTATTCCATTTCCCGACTTTAAGGCTGGCAAGAATTTAACCTTTCATCCCTCCTACCATATGGAAAAAAGCCTTTCTAAGTATTTCCATAATACCAAGTGAATATTATTTTTAAAGCTCAGATGAGAACATCTTTTCCTTTTTATTATGCCACTCCATTTCTATATTTGCAAAAATAAATATCATAAGCCAGGCTCTATGCCAGCTAAAAAGTGTTTCGAATTTTGGAAATAGATGAAAAATTCACTACAAATAAGACCTTGTTGTAATTTTATCCCATCTGTCCCTCCCTTTTTTTTAACCAAAGTGATAACTTAGTGATCGGGTTTCGGTGGCCAATTAACTTAATCAAGCTTCAGCCCTAGGTCTGTGAGGCCAAGTCATGATTTTCATACTTTGATAAGTCATTGATTTGTGCCCTCCTTCATGGCTAGAGATGGCACTGTCACCACTTGCAGTCATTTGACCACAGGAGCCATTAACCATAGGAGGCCACTGGCTAGACACTGTGACTTATCACTGCTGAGAAAACAAGGCCCGTCACAGCTAGAAGCATCCTCTGTGGGCATGAAGGGCAACTTGCCTTATTAAATAGCTTTGGCTAGCTGTAGCTAGAGGTTAAAAGCTCCGGAAGTCCTAGAGGTTTCAAGGTTAATTGTAATACAAAATAAATTTTATTTTCCAGGTTTGCTTAAGTTCTTAGGGTTTATGAATGATAACTTTAAAATTCCAGATATTTTCCTAGGATTTTTTCCCCCCTGCAATATGGTCTGACACCTTCATTAAAGTGCAAAATAATTTTGTGTATTTAGTACCTGAAAAAAATGTCAGTTGAGCCTTTTTAGAATGTTTATATTACCTAAAAAGGACAAGAGAAACAGATTTTGAAGTCTGTCTTGCAGTTCAGAATAATGGTCTTAATCATTATATGTGCAGGATTTTAGTGCTAATCTAAATAATATGCAACGGTTTAGCTGAGCCATATATTTTCCTCAAGTGCCAAACAGTAAACTACTTGATTATTTGAATAAGCAGTTGGTTCGAATCTTTTTCTTTCAATATATTTACACAGTCTGGTTTTAGACAGACACGAGAGAGCATAGAGAATTTTATTTCATGTGACTGAATTTATAAAACTTTTTTAAAATGAGTTTTTTAAAAAAGTTAAGATTCTAAGATCCTATTCAAGATAGAATTTCCTTTGCAAACTTGGCTGCAGAATTGGAGGCTACATCTATTGAGTATTTTGGACAACTGTTTCAGTTTATTGTTGCTTTTACTTATTTAGATGGGCCAGATTATTTGTAAAATATGTTCATTGTATAATATCTTCACAGATTTATGATTATACTTTAACACCAAGATGTAGCAATTTCAAATGTACTGTTATAATAACACGTGGACTAATGTGTTTTACAGGCAATATTTGACTGGGTAGATATTGCAGGTGGTAAATTAGCTTCAATGTCTCCAATTGGAACAGATCTTGAAACTGTAAAGCAGCAGATTGAAGAGCTAAAGGTATGAGTAGGGGCTAACTAAAAGATTTTGCATATTTAAGTTTTTTATTCACGGGATTCTTTACACAAATTTATTTTATGTAATTGAAGTATTACATTTTGATCATGAAACCGGTTTAATATAATGCCTGAACCTAATAAGCAGTGTATAGGAGGTCCTTAAATAAAGGATATAAATATTAGTAGTTTTCTTTTTAGTAAATCAATACCTGTGTTTATTATAGAAAAATCAGAAAATACAAAGAATCAAAAAGGTGGCTTTTTAAAACTCACCCAAAATATTATGTACCCATAAGAGGCAACCATTCTTAAGATATGATTTATAGCCTTTCAAATATTCTCATGCTGGGGCAGGATGAGGTATGGGGAGTGTGTGTGTGTGTGTGTGTGTGTGTATTTTATACATATGTAGATTATACTTTAAGGATTTTTATAACTTTATTATTCAGTAGTATATTATTATCATCAATATACATATAACAACATTTTTATTTTCTTCACTGTATTCAGAGTAATTCATCATTTCTCACAGGCTAAAGAAGCATCCATAGTATAATTGTGTTTCTCAAAATGTTTGTTTTGTAAATGTTTGTTGTTTTCCATCTACTTTTCTCTGTAATTTTTCCTTTTGTGGTTCTTGATCTCCACCTGTAAAAATGGCTGGACTGTTTCCTCTTTGAATTCTTCTACGGAATATTTATCAAAGCGGGGTCAGCTATTTTCTTCCTAAGCATCCATCCACAGACATTACACCATTTTCAATGGACTCTACTAGGTTTTTATATAAAATTATTATTTGGCTTTAGAATGGTAGCATTTTCAACTCCAAGTGTGATATAAAGTAGTTCATTTAGAAAAAGATGTGGGTTTTGTTTTTTGTTTTTTTAGAGAATTTTACTGTTACCATCATTAGATTGAGATTTTTAAAAAACTTCATCTGATCATGTAGTAACACAAAATATATACCTTATATATATATACCTTCAGGTGTGGAGGAGAATTTATTTTGGATATTTGCATATATCTCAGTGGTTTTCATATAGCAGGCGGCTTGGTTAGGTGTGCTCGCTCTGAAATCAGGTTGTCTGAGATTACATCCCAGTTCATCCACTTACTAACTAAATGACCTTGGGAAAGTTACCTAACTGCTCTCACTTCTGTATCCTTAACTTAAATTGAAGATAAAAGTATTTTCTTTATAAATTTGTTGAGAATAGATAGAACATAGCAAGTGTTCACTATGCTTTAGTTATTATTTTTTAATTATTATTTTCATGTTTGAAAATATTAAGGTACTGCTTAGTCATTAATTACTTACTATTCAATTATTTACTATTATACATTAACCTAAATATTTTATGAAAGAACAGTTTCCTATTACAAGCACCCATTTGTTAACCTGTGTCGGTTGGCAAAGCCAAGATGATTGAATATGTGTCAGTAAGCACCAGGAGAGTGAAAGATGTTGTTCGGTGGCAGCAGTGGGTGAGGCATAGGAATAACTAAATATTAGTGAACACAGCAGAAGTACGGAAAACATCAGCTGTTCAGTGGATGCAAGATGTGGTATGTTTTTTGAGGAAGAAATATTAATTTGAGTTTCTTAGAGGTAATTATTTCTGGGTTTCACATACGTCAATATGTATTTTATTTTCTTCTTTCCTTTATTTCAAAACTCATTTATTAAATATATGTAATTAGATATTAGAGTAAGTTCTCCTTGAAATTTGTTAATTTCTTGTCGAGAACAAAAGTGAGATGTCAAAATTATAAAGAGAAACATCTTTCCATCAGAAAACATTGAATAAAGAGAAAAGATTTCCTTTATACTTTTTTTTATCTATAATCTTTTATTGGTAACCATGTGTTACATTTCTATCCCTCTTCGCCTCCCCACCACCTGCCTCGTAAGAAGTATGAATTAGAATAGAGATCTTACCCATAGAATTTTTTTTTGTTTAAAGTTTCTGATTTGTAACAAATTTTCCTTGTATATCTATCTCTTTAAAAAATAGCAATTTAAGTCAGAGGCCTATCAACAACAGATAGAAATGGAAAGACTGAACCATCAAGCAGAGCTTTTGCTGAAGAAAGTAACAGAAGAAAGTGACAAACACACTGTGCAAGACCCATTAATGGAACTGAAATTGATATGGGATAGTCTGGATGAAAGAATTATCAACAGACAGGTAAATACCAAGACTTTCGTTAATGTAAAGTAATTATTACAGAGTAAAATTATATATTTAATTTTATGTACATAAACTTTGGGTAATTAAGTACATAAACGTTTGAAGCCCCTTAATTCTTTCTGCTTCTCACATGCCATTTTTTTTAAGCATAAAGTATTTCAAACCTAAAATGTAGAAGTTTGTGATGATTTGGTTTCATTGTATATACTTACAGATATAAGCAGCATGAAACAATTGATTTTTTACCCTTGTTTTATAAATGTGTGTTACTCATAATACCAGATTCATAAATGGATTTTTTTCCTCTCCATTTTTCTGTAGCATAAGCTGGAGGGTGCTCTGTTAGCACTGGGGCAGTTCCAGCATGCTCTGGATGAGCTGTTGGCATGGCTGACACACACTGAGAGCTTGCTGAGTGAACAGAAACCTATTGGAGGAGACCCTAAGGCCATTGAAATTGAACTTGCCAAGCATCACGTAAGGAGCTGTTGCTGCATATTGTTTCTTCTCTATGCATTTCTAATGTCGTCAAATTTTTTTATGTTTCTTCTTTGTGCATTTTTCAAGTTTATAATTTGAACGCAAGTTCATATTTGACATTCATAACTAAAGGTTTAACTATTTAAAATATACTTCTTAAAAGATTATAATCAAAATATTTTTCTCATTATTTAAGGCAGTTAATATCAAAAACAGCAAGGATGGGAAATTTCTGGGTGCATTTTATTAGGGCTGCATGGCAAACACTGCAGATTTAAATCTCTGATTATACCTGTCATTGGATTAATGTAGCACGATTTTAAATGTTGTCGGGCATACCCTAATAAGGCATAAATTCAAAATGTTCTACTGCAGGTCATATGTATGTTTTTCTCCTGGTCATTCTTAACCTTGTAGGTCTTTCACTTGTTGCTTATTTGGCATGTCTAACATATTTCTATCTGTCTGTACTTCTCTCATTATGTTGAGGTTTGTTTTCTATCTCTTGGTCTCTTACTTTTCAGTGGCTTTTATGTTTTTGTCCTTTTCTTTATGAATTTTTTTTTAATATCATGTTCAAAAGGTTTAAAGGAGTTTTTATGTGTCCTGCACTTGATTTAAAGCTTATTAATTGAAAAATTTTGTCTTGAGATATATGCAACACAATTTTATATTGTTGTCATCTTTGTGACACTGGTTGATAATTCTTAATAGAAAATTCCCTATCTCTTAAGTCATTGGGCTTAATGAATAAAACATGCTCGGTAGAGTTTATTCTGATATTCAGCAGTTTTTAATAGAACTTCAAGATTCACATTAATAGTAGTAGCTTATTTAAGGTTAGGTCCTAGATCCTAACCTAATATAAGTTTCCTCTGATTATCAGATAGAAGTTTGAATTATTTTACATATTGAATATAAGCATTTTAAAGTAAAAGGTAGGTTTTTAATACTTCAAGATCATGATGTATAGGTTTTGACTATTCTTGCTTTAGTCCTTCTTCTTTCATACTTTTTCCCATCGTAATTGTTCCCTAATTTAAATTTTTCTTCTCTTTTACCTCATTCTGTCTATGTATATAGTTACTCCCAAAACATATTTGATTAAGCAGTTAGAACTTATTATGCATCATTAATATTTTTGTTATTTAATACCTATGTTATACCTTTGCTAGAAACAATAATGACTAGTTAGATTGACTCTGCATATAAAGAAATATGTTTATTCTTATAGTGTGAGTTTATAGCATTTACATTTTATAAACTTAGCAATTGTCCTTAAAGTCATAAACATCAGTGACAGGAACTTTGTAGAATATAGATGAGGTGGGAATATGAGGCGCCTTAATCCAATTGTTTTGGTGGGGGATGAGTTAGGGACCTTTTATTTCTGTTTATCTGTCTTTCTCCTTTCATTTCTCAAAGGTCAAAGTTAAAGGACTTAGAGTTGCCAGCACCATTCCTGGAGGAAGAGAGGAGATATTTCCATCCCTCCCCTGCCTTTTTCTCTGGCTCTTGGGCTGTGGCTTGTATAACAGGACTTGGGCCATTTAGAAGAATGAATTGTATAGAATTATTTTTTATATTTTGACCGGGAGAAAAATTTAAATCTTACCTTTTAAAAGTGATTCCTACTGTTAATGTATCAAAGGGCAGTCAGAGAAACTGAATGCAGATGGTTAGTGCCACACCCTCACTGAGAATCCTCCTTGGGCTGGATCTCCCTCCAGACATGAGATGTCTTACCTAGGACAGGAGATGATGTTTCTTTTCTTTCCTGTTGATAACCCTGAGTGGGCGAGTGAAGGGAAGGATCGTCATCGACTTTTACTAACATCAGAGGAAGATTTCTTCTGGCTTCTAAAAACATAACCACTGTCTTCTTGAAAGGAATCTATTACTAAGCTATAGTTGTTCTTTAAAGTGTAATTCTTTTCAGCATAAGAAATTGACCTTTTTAGCCTTGCGGTTGTTTTTTGCGCTTACCACTCTTGCCCCACCTTAGTGCATGTAAGTGTTATTAATCTGTTCTTATATTTCTACTGTATAATAGAATAGAAAGGCATTATTTACTGGGATCTGTAGTTAGCATTTCATATGCGAATTTTCTAGTAAAAGAACAGCTAACCTCGGAATGCTGGGCTTGAGTATCCCTGATATATAGTGAAATAAACCTTTTTCCCATTAGTGTTAGGGCCTCCCAGGAGTCCTGTCAACTTAGCAGTTAATTCTAGCACCATTCCAATAAGAGAAGATAAAAGAATGTCCTCCTATGATATTTTTTTTTGCTTTTAGAGTGCTAATTGTAAAACATGGCACTGTGTATTTTAGAAATGTAATAATTTTATGTTTGCAAATGAATACATAGAAATAAATAATTTTTAGATTGCTTAAGACATAAAAATTAAGTTCAATTAAAATGAACTTGAGTCAAATGAATACTTTTAGATCCTTTTCATTATAATTTCTAGATATGTAATATCATCAATTGCAAAGCTATTATAATGGGAAGAACCTGCAGTGGTCTCACATAATCATTTTAGGGGATGTTGGTAGACAGGAAAGTTGTAAAGTTAAAGGAAAAGATGTCCATCATTTAAAAACTTCATTAGTATTAAAATTCTGTGTATGTGATATTTTTGTTTCCGAATGTTTCATAACCAGGAAATAAAACAGTTACATTAAAAGCAATGTTAACTGGTTACAAACTAGCAACTATAGTGTTATTTTAATATTTTCAGGTACTCCAAAATGATGTATTAGCCCATCAGTCCACAGTGGAAGCTGTTAATAAAGCAGGAAATGATCTAATTGAATCAAGTGCAGGGGAAGAAGCAAGCAGCCTTCAGAACAAGTTAGAGGTTTTAAATCAACGCTGGCAAAATGTTTTGGAAAAAACAGAACAAAGGAAGCAGCAGCTGGATGGTGCCTTACGCCAGGTGAATAAGAGAATAAGTTCTGAAACTTTCTATAGCCTTCAGGACCAAAATAGCATGGAATTCTTTCATTGGTTAACATACCCTTGTTTAATTTTTATACCTCAAGGAGAAGAGTAAAAATAAGTGGGATAAAGAAGAGTGCTGATGAGAACACAGCTCTCTAGTTCTTAGTGTAATAGTCTTATCTGCTAGTGCTTTCCTGAAGAAGAAAGGCAAGGCCAATCTAGTGGCACCTGGCCGTTTTTAAGAATGCCCAGAGAGGCTTAGCAGGCTGGATCGTTTAAACCTTGTTTTCTGCTTGAAAGTGACGATGTTTGTGGCCCAAGCTGAAAACTCTCTATCATTCATTCTAGGCCAAAGGGTTCCATGGCGAAATTGAGGATTTGCAGCAGTGGCTGACTGACACGGAGCGCCATCTGTTAGCATCTAAACCTTTGGGAGGTTTACCAGAAACAGCCAGGGAGCAGCTTAATGCCCACATGGTAAGTATATTATTTCCTACAGCTCTAGCCTCAGATTAAGAAACTGACCATTTTGTGTGGGCCCTGGTGATAAATAAATTGTGGGAGAAAGTTTAAAGGATATATAGTATTACACCAGAAATCTCTATGTATAAGTGCTAGAAACACTATTGATTAAATTTTTCAAGTCAGAACCTATTCTTTATTTCAAAGGTTAGTATGTCAGTATATGAAACGAGGTTTTAGAAATCTAGACATTTTTAGAAACACCTTCTCCCATAAACTCATAAACTTGTGCAGATAGTAATAAATATTGTGTAAATTATAAACTGTTGTACCTTGAGTGAAAAGAAAAATCCCTTTTAAGTAATCAAAATTGACTTAAAAATTATTGCTGTAAGCATGGTTTTCCCAACTTGTTTCATGGAAGTCTGGAAAATATGTTTTTGTTCTATTAAAGTTACTTGTTTGTTTCTTTTAATGGTGATGGGGCTGAATCTTCAATTTTACCTCTATATAAGATATGGACAAAAGGAGGCTTCTGCTTAATTGTCCAATCTGGAGCATTGTGCCTGTGGGCTATTCCCACTCAGATTCTGTGGCACTGCCAACTCTTAAGGATAAGGAGGAAAAAATAATGAAACTTCAGACTTTGGCTTTCTTTCATGGAAGTATGGACTGACAAATTAAATTTAGACTGCCTTTGATTTATTCACATTTCCTATTCATTTCCCATTATAATTCAGCTCTGAAAGTTTTTAAAGAAGCAGTCTGTTTCAAATTTTGAAAACTAATCTTCTAATTTTCACACTTGTGAATTTGCATCGAAAATAATATTTTTTTAAATATTTAAATGCCAGCAATTAGTATCTTATGAAATAAAAGTAGAGCTTTTATTTCTACAAAGGAAATGGGCCATTGCACATTGAAGTCTGTATTCTTTAACAGATGTCTAATGTTGTCGTGGAGCTCGTTAAAACTCCACTTATTAAGAATTAAGTACCTGCAAAGCTATTACAGTGTCCATAAAGTATAAGTTTAATGAATTCTTGAACAGACATATCTGGGATTAATCTCTAATGACAAATATTTTGAAATGTTAATGTAGAAAGATATAAGTAAAAATATTGAAAAGCAGAGAGCTTATTTTTAGAATATTTAATCTTTAGAAGAATATCAGCTTATTTTTCTGGGGGGTATTTAAAATGAATTTGTTATAACCTTACATAATTTGTCAGAGTATAGAAATTCCATAATTTAAAGAATATAAAGAGTTATCAATATTTGTAATACACTTTTAGTACTGTTCTTGTGCTTTGGTTGTGTTAGAAATGAAGGAAACCTGAAAACTGAAGTATCACAGTTTCGTGAGATTTGGCTATATTTAAAAGTTTTGCTTTAGGATTAAAAGTTTTTAGTAGGTGATATTGTAAAGACGTTTAGACAGGGTTTTTTTTTTGTTTTTTTTTTTTAAGGTTTAACAGATTATAAACTTTTGAAGCAATAAAGTATTCTGGAATTAGTAGTGATGGTTGCACATTCTTGTGAATATACTAATAAAACACTGAATTGTACACTCTAAAATGGATGACTTTTATGAATTATATTTTAATTTTAAAAATTATAAAGTCAAAAATGTTAGAGATAGGATATATAATTTTTCAGTAAGAGCTATGATTTGAACTACATTATAATTGAATCATTGGGCTAGAACTGGTCTTAATTTTTTTCCATGAATGTAACTGTTGTTTCATTGATTTTAAATTCTGAATTTGTTTAAGCAGTATTTTTTTATTTTCTCTATAAAAGATACACACTGCATTCTAGTTGGAAGCTTTAAAAATGTTATAAATGAGAATAATATTCTCATAGTACCACAAGTTTGGCTTTTGTGATTCCAAAGTCTGAATAATCAACTTAAATGTCTCACTGTACTGGGTCTTAACTTTCTATTCACTGGATGTCTTCTGAGCCCAGAATTAAATTTTACAGAAAAAATATTACAGTCATTGTAATATTACAGTTCAAGGAAAGACTTAGAGAACTCACTTTATAGAGGAAGAAATCAAGGCTCAGGTAGGTTAACTTACTTGCCAAAGGTCACAGAGCTAATTGGTCACTGTATAGTGAAGCCTTTCTTGATATCATTTAAAATATTGTTTCAAAAACCTTATCATGCCAGGAAGGATTGTTGATGACAGCAGCATTTCTGAGATTTCTTGGTAGACAAGGTATGGCTATAGGTTTAGGTGTTATTTCAATATAGTGAAAAGTTTGAATGCATTGGAGTTATTCTGTATGCTGGATAGAGATGTATATATGATAAGGGGTTTGGGATTGATGACTTGGGATAAGAACTCTTAGATTTTATTATCTTAAAAATGAGATAACTTGGGGGGATATCTCAATTTAGGAAATCTGTGCTGCCTTTGATGTTAAAGAAAAAACATATAAGAGTCTGATGCAGAAAGGCCAACAGATGCTTGCAAGATGCCCCAAATCTGCAGAGACAAATATTGACCAAGACATAAATAACTTGAAAGAAAAATGGGAATCAGTGGAAACCAAACTCAATGAAAGGAAAGTATGTGCCTTGATTAATATGATTCACTGTTTTAGTTGTTTTATTTCGTGGGTTTTTACCTTATCTCTGAGTAGCATGATCAATTTTTAATGATCCCTGTTTAAATTCTTTTTGTATACATTAGGAGGTTTCATGGGGTCAGTTGAAAATAGTATTCTGTCTTAACTCAAAAGAACTGAGTTAAAGGAATCTATTGAAACAGATAAAAGTATATCATGGATCAGTGTTACTAGGTATATTTTTAAATTTGTGAACCACTCGAATTCTGGATAGTTAAATAATTCTATTCTAATCACACTTCATGAGCAAAAGGCTGTATATAGGGAGAGGGAGAGAGGGAAATCAAGAGAACGAGATAATTGTGTATATATAATAAGTACTTACATAACAAAAATCTATGAGAAGCATCTCACTGACAGAGTAGAACTATATTTCATAGTATTTGGATCCCAGAAATTAATTGTATAAATGTCAAGTTTTTTTTTTTTTTCCTGAAGATTGTTTAGTAATTGTGTTCTGTGGTTAATTGCCCCTAAACCAAAATTTTAGTATATATTAAATTTTTTTAGCTGCAGTGAGATGCTTCTTACTATATATTTCAAGGGGTTTGGTTTGCCAGTATTTTAGTGGAGGCCCATTACATTTATAAACTATTTAGGTAGTATAGATTATGTATAAATAAAGAAAAGGTGGGAAGGAAATCTGCCAGAGAGTGGTTAAACTGGAGCCGTGGCAGGGGTGGGGGCAAGGGGGAGAGGCTTATATCATCAAATACTAAATAATCTGTCCTCGCAGACTAAACTGGAAGAGGCCCTTAACTTAGCAATGGAGTTCCACAATTCTCTCCAAGACTTCATCAACTGGCTTACCCAGGCTGAACAGACTCTAAATGTAGCTTCTCGGCCAAGTCTTATCTTGGACACCGTCTTGTTTCAAATCGATGAACACAAGGTATGCTATAACTCAGATGGATGGCATTCTGATTTCAGACCTTTTTAGACAGCAGGCTGTTTTAGTAACAAAAGCATGAATTTGGTAGTTTGAAAACATTCTTTTGTCCTTTGAAATAGCTTCAGCTTATGACACCAGAAGCATTTTCAAGATAGATCAAATTTTCATTTGTTTCTATATATACTCTCTTTTTTTTTGGATAAAGGTCTTTGCCAATGAAGTAAATTCTCACCGTGAGCAGATAATAGAGCTGGATAAAACTGGAACCCACCTGAAATATTTCAGTCAGAAACAAGATGTTGTCCTCATTAAGAATCTACTTATCAGTGTACAGAGTCGATGGGAAAAAGTAGTTCAACGGTTAGTGGAAAGAGGAAGATCTTTGGATGATGCAAGGAAGAGGGCAAAGCAGGTAAACCTTTATAAAAATACTCCGAACTTGGCAATAAATCAATTCTAGCTGTTGAAATATGTGTTATTAATGTACTTCTGTTGCAGGCTATATTAGGTGTAACAATTATGGCATAGAGCCAAGATATTTATTTCCTAAAAGGGCTGTGGCCCAAGTTTGGATCATGGCATCACTTTGAAGTTGACCTATCAGCAACTTCAGGGCCTGGGGACTAATCTTGAAAAGACTGATTATAGCTTGACTTCAGAGATGGACCATTTAAAAATTATCATTAATGCACAAAAGGGGCTCAAAATTTTTGTTATTGCATTCGTTTGTTTTTTCTTTGTCCTTTCAACCTCCACTCTCATACTCAGAGTGAGACATCATACTTAATTATATTGCTACCTTTTGTTTCAGTTCCAAAGCTAAACTTTCTTCACAGACTATGAGAGCTGAGCCAGACCTTTATCCCTCTAGACAGCTTTCTGAGAGGGCGTATTCTGTGTCTGAGTTCGTTGGTACTCCTCACGTCTCTGAGTCTGTACACTTGTTGGCAAGCCTTCATTTCTTTTCTAATATTTTGATACAGCTCCATCCAAATTTTAAATTGTCTGAAGCTTTTGGGGCTGCATTTTTTTTCAATCTAGAGACTCTTACAAGGAACTTGCCTTACTTCTTTCACCTGTTATTAATATTCTGTTCTAGACTTAACACAGAGAAGAAGTAAAATTATGCATCCCTGTTCTTCAGGGAAGAGAGAGGTGTACCCACCTTGCTTGGCATATATCTTTGTTTTTTACTAGTAAGTAGAAAGTGTAATATTGAGGCTAAATTTTATAATGACTCTTTTTTGCCCCATTCAGTTGCATTTGTTCATCATTGGTCCTGCACTCCAATGCTTTGGGGAGCTAGGCTCAGTTGGGTGATGCAAAAAATGTCATGGGCGTCACGTGTTTTAGTATTTAAAGCTATCAGTGTAAGTTTTTAAAGACTTTAGAAATTACAAATTGCACCGTTACAGGATTACATGCCATGTGTCCCTTTTTGAGTGAGAAGTATGATATGTTCATTGCTAAAAGTGAGTCCCTGGAATGGAACCGGTCTCTAATGTTTTTTTTTAAGACAGTATTAATGCTGAGCCTAGTATTTTTCTCTTCACATATGTAGCAGTGTCATCTGAAGTATAGGCATTTTTTGAGTTATGAACATCTAATGTCTAAGAGTCTCTTGGATGCCAGGACCCAGTTGCCCACCCTCTTCCTCTCTTCTCCATTGAATCAATTTTATTTTCTCAATTTGTTTAACTAACTATATAAGGGTTTTCTACTGTTTTCAGTGCAGAAGTAGAGTATATAGAGTTTCTTCTATATTTATAACTTAAAAATAGTTTTGAAAGTGAGACCAGCCTTAGGACCTATGTGTCTGTATCGTTAAACTTACCATCAAACCGTTATAGCCTATATTATTTGTTGTAAGACTACCTAACATAATGATTAGGTGTATCTTTAATTTATTTCTTACTATTTTAATAACTCATTTTTTTCTCAAATGTTGATCATAGTTCTCTGACTTTGACAATGTATGTGCCTATTCTAGCCTCCATGTTTTCATGTTTAATTTGATTACTGCTGTGGGAGGGATGTGTAGGGAGAGCAGGTTTGTGATGAGATGCTCTCTAGTGGGCCCCGGCAGCTTTGTGATTCCATGCTCTTATTGTAGGAAGTGTCTTTCTGTTATTTCATTATTAATGTGCTTTGGTATAAAGCACACTTTATGTTGATTAAGTTTTTATTATGTATCTGTTATGAGAAATAATTTATAACCAACTTCACAATTTGGAATCTAAAAATGGTACCCACTAGTTCTGAATGAAAAACAGAAAACAGACTGGGGCTGAAATTAAATATAAATAGCACCAGACTATTTCAAGGTCATAGATGCCAGAGAAAGTTATATTTTGTTAGAACTCATGTATTGTAGGTGCTCTTGCATATTAAACCAATATGTGATGCACAAGCATTAATTCGAGAGGTTTGATAGCATCAATGAAGATGTTAAACTACCTTTATATTAAATAGAAATAAAATTACCTCTCTTTGTTCTTGTTTCTTTTTAAAACCAATTTACAAATTTTATCCTTCTCTTTCTCCCTTTTTGTTCCTTTTTCTCCGCATAGGAAATTAAATACCTTAGAAGTTAACCCAGATTTGTCAAGTGACAGCAGGGAGCAAATAAAATTCTCTGAGCGTCTGTGTTAATTATTAAGCAAAAGAAAGGGCAGTACATTCTGCCTGGCGCTCCCTAACATTTCAGTTTTTGTTAAAGTTTATGTGTTTGAATGAATTATAACAAAGTGAGCATGGAACGGGATCACAGAAGCAAAATGTTAGTTAACAAGACAGTTTATAATCTGCTGATGAAACTATTACTTTTTTCTTCTGAGGGCATGTTGATTTAATAATTTTCAACATTTCCATTAATATTAATTTATATTTTAACTACCTATTAGATTTCAAATATAGCGAATATGCCAGAAAATTTACTGGACAAAATGTGAATTTCTTTACAGTTCCATGAAGCTTGGAGTAAACTTATGGAGTGGCTAGAAGAGTCAGAAAGGTCTTTGGATTCTGAACTGGAAATCGCCAATGACCCAGACAAAATAAAAACACAACTTGCACAGCATAAGGTGGGTGGGTCTACAGTGAAGAAAAGCATATTATGTCACTATATATTGCAAGATCACTTTCAAATTCTTACTCGATTGTGTATTTATTCATCACTAGGGGGGAAAAAAAGTCACCCAATGTGATCCTTGTTAAATTAAAAACCAATTGCCCTTCACATTGATCAAGTGGTAGTGGTATCTTTAATCCCCAGTGACCATTCCATTATGAGCCTGGGTTAATTAATAAAAGAAAACCTACAGAATTAAAACATTAAAAGGATTTGTAAGCATTCAAACATTGGCATTTTAATTTTTCTCAACTGTCTTGTCTTTTCTCTCATAGACCATATAGCAAAAAGTAATATAGATTTTGTCCTATAGATTCTTTTAAATAGTACAGTGGGCAAAATTGGTATCTCCTACCTAAATTGGCATTTAATTGTATATGTGTGGGTATATGAAATTCCATCCTTACCCTCAAAGACACATAGTCCACAGCTTCCTTGTGTAGACTAGAAGTTGTAGAAACATTGTGTTTTACATATTTTACCTTTTCTATTTGTACTACATAGCATTCAAAGACCATTTCTCCCATCCTCTTCAAATCTTTTAAACTTGGGTTTTGCTGTCATTTTGTTTGTAGAGTGATCATCAGCCCTCAGGGTGAGGATGTGGATAAAAGGAGAGTGGTTCCTGAAAACAGTTTTACAGTTTTAGGCATCGACATATAAATTATTGCTTGAAACATGATAATTTTTAAAAGGCTAGAGAAAATTGAGGCCATGTTAAGTTCATCATCAGAAAATTCTAGCCATCATCTTCACATAGGCTGATTGCTTCGGTTGGTGATTCTAACTAACCCCAGGGGGTCATGCTCCTAGGGTGATGGAAGGAAACATTGCGCCATTGCCCGTCTGTTCTTTGGCTTATGAATGGCTTGTTCTGCTGGCACCCTGTGCCCATGAGCTGCCGCATCTAGTATTGGGCACATGATGACAGTGGGCAGGACCTTCTTTCCTTCACCTCTGATGGAAAAATGAGCACCTCCTTCTCAATGTAGAAGAAATTTGAACTTGAACACAGATGTTGTGTCATATAGTCTTATGCAAGTATATTGCATATTTAAGTTAGAGAATCCTAGAAATAAGAATATGCAAAGAACCCTTGTAGAGTCTCTGTTTCCCCTATTGTGACCTATTGTCAAAAGTCACCATTTCTCTGAAATGAAGATACAAGGTACATTAAGCCAATTTTAAAAGAACTCTTTTCTATTCATTATTTGGGTACTTTTTGCCTTTAAAAAGTTTTAACCTGTCCTGTATTCAGCTTTAACATTTAGTATGTGTCTGTTGTATGAAGAAAACCTGTCAATACCATGATTCTAAAACTAATATTCTGTTTAGAATAATATGTAGAAATAATATTTACAGAGAACAAACGGCTGAAATACAGTGATATTGCAATGGTGTTTATTGCTAAAAAATTCCCAGATGTAGTTGCCTACTATTACAAGACAAAATAAATACCTTAGTTATATTAAGACACTTAAAGTGTCTCACTTTTAAATGCAATCAAAACTTATTAGGTAATCGAATAAGTTATTTTGGAAAATTATACATTTGCATAGCATTTTATTATCTGGGACGATGCTAATGTGCTGCCAGGATTAAGAATTAATGCATTAGTGTTCCTGTGATATTTTATGAGTTTATAAGCTGCCTATTAAGTTGATCTTTCTTTCTTCTCATCCCTGAGATTTTATATTCGATTGTAGTTGTCCAACTCTTTCTATTACATACTTGTAAACACACACAAAATAAAACCTGATAATAACAGGCCTACAAAAACAATATCCCTGCTTGAGGAAAGCTTATAATTGAGTTGTGTAGAAAGAATGGAATTCACTCCTCCCACACATACACACATACATATACAAACTTGAAGATTAACAATATCCAAAATGTGTGACAATAAATCTGTTTGAAAAAAAAAAAAAAAAAAAAGAATTGTAGTAAATTTATACACTGAGTCATTCTGTGTCCTTGCCAGACCTATAGTTAGTTACTCATAGAGTGTTAACTACATTTTCCTTTTTAAACTGTGGGATTTTCAATAGTTTATTAGCAATCCCATTTTATCGTAACTAGCATACTGTTTGTAGTTTATAGCTACAAAAGATTCAGGGTTTGTTTTGTTTTGAAATGATTTTCTTGATAATAGTAGATACTCTTAGAGACCCCTGGCTTCTGAGAAAAATAATTCTTTCAGTTAGAAAATGTAGAGATTGTTTTCTACCCTGGTGTATTCCTGACTTGATTATTTGCTGATGTCTTTCAGTGGTTAGACTCCACTTATGAGAGACGCCTCTTTCAGTGTCTCTGTCCCGTTTGTTCATTGGTCCTAAGCAGAAATGCACTTCATTTTCTCATGAAATATATAGGAGTTTCAGAAATCACTTGGAGCCAAGCATTCTGTCTACGATACCACCAACAGAACTGGACGTTCTCTAAAAGAAAAAACCTCCCTGGCTGATGACAACCTGAAACTGGATGACATGTTGAGTGAACTCAGAGACAAATGGGATACTATCTGTGGAAAATCTGTGGAAAGGTAATGTTCTTTAAGGCAGTTTGGTTACTTTGTAGACCCCTTTCAAACACACAATAGTGGTGCTTTGTGGGGAATTTTAGGAACCTTAAACACCCCCTTTGCCTGGAGAACTGCTGGTCCTTAGTACCCCACTTACCACAGTACTTGCACTGAGAAGGCTTTGCTGTTGGTTATCATTTATCTGTAAGTACTCAAGTTACTCGAAAGTGATAACATTCTCTAGGCTTCTGTCATCTCACACCTGACCACAGCAATTGCCTTGTGACTGTCTTGTCGGGTCTGCTATTGTCCTCCTTAATCCTATTTCTACATACCTACTAACATAGTCTTTTAAAAAAATGTAATTAGAATCTTGTCATCCCCCTGCTTCATACTCTTTAGGGGCTTAATATTGGGTATGAATTAAAACATAGGCTTCTTAATGAGGTGTGCAGGGTTCTACGACCTAACCCCTCCTGTGTGCCCTTCCAATTTCCATCCACCCCTTTCTAATTTTCCTCTTCCTCATTACACGTCAACCACAAAGGCCCAAAACTTATTTCAATTTTTTTAAAGTATTTAATAATGTACAGTACTACTAGAGGAGTTAGAATATCTTAGGGATGTTTTCACATTTTTCATTCTTCCGTAGTCTAATTACTTTTGTCAGTATCAGGATTAAATAAAATATTATATTCACTTCTAGGGAACTTTTGCAATAAGCTTTTCGTGTGTGTTTTTTAAATTCCTTAAAATTGTCTCTCCCATCTCAAAAGGTTATGTGCTTTTTACGATGTCATATAGTCATATAAATGATTTTATTTATATGACATTCTTTAAAAGGTAAAAAAATTAGTGATGGCAGACAGATCTGTAAATGCCAGGGGTTAGAGATGAAGGCAGGCTGTGATTATAAAGAGACTTCATGAGGGAGATTTTTGAGATGATGGCACTGTTCTGTATCTTGATTATGATGGTAGTTCCATGAATCCATAAATATGTTAAAATTCACAGAACCATATACCCCAAAAAGTCGTTTACTGTATGATAATTTAAAACATAAATTTAAAATAATAATAATAATAATAATTATTATTATTATTTTTAGTTTAAAAGGCATTTTTTATGAAGAAACTGAAGGGTTCAGTGATTTCTAGAGGTAATGATGAGGGAATTTTCCTGGAACGGATGCCATGTATTTAAAGAATCAAAGAGAACATTTGAGAAAAGTGTTCTTATTTTCTAAGGAAAGCCAAAAAACAGCAGTAAATGCCAATATGTTGCTTTTTCTCAAATACTGCTCAAGCTTCATAAAGGAATTTTAGCTGTTTGAATGTATAGGGTAGCCTTTTTGTTGCTCAGATTGATTTTTCTACCTTTTTTTTTCCCCAGACAAAACAAATTGGAGGAAGCCCTGTTGTTTTCTGGACAATTCACAGATGCCCTGCAGGCCCTCATTGACTGGTTATATAGAGTTGAACCCCAGCTGGCAGAAGACCAGCCTGTCCATGGAGACATTGATTTAGTGATGAATCTGATCGATAATCACAAGGTATAGTTATCTGGGACATTTTATTGACCTCATTAGATTATTCTGAGAATAAAGGAAACTAACCACTTAACTTAGCCTTTTAAAATCTAGAAAGTGTATATCATATCATACTACCTTAACAGTCTTTAATATTAAAATGTGTGCACGTTTGACCAGTATCAGGAAGTCAACTTTAAAAGTGATGTAGGAAAATTACTTTAGTATCAGTGGTATAATACTGTTTTTAATTTCCAGATCTAAAACCTTTTTAGAACTTGGAAAGTGATTTTATTCTCTGGTGCTTTAAAACATGTTTCAAGAATATTTTACAATCTTTTTTTATTCATTTAAATAATTTTGTAATATAATTTAAAATCATTCATTCAGTGACCTGGAACTTGGTCATTGCATAAGTTGAATAGATTTGTGACATGATCTGTGGAGGTCATGATCAGTTTTCTGCTTTTAAAAACTGGTTTAACCTTGCTGCCTGAACTACAGCAATTTATGAGACAACAGCAAATGTTATGAGGTTTTGATTATTACTGCAAGAAAATTGGTTTCCTTGTAACTTTCTGATATGTATGTTAAACTACTGGGCAAATCAATGGTCATTTTCGAGATGTTCAGCTGATACTGAGTATAAGATCCTAGATTATGATCAAATGCTGTATTATAACTTAAAGAGCCTTGAAAACAACATGAGGTACAATAAATACCAGTGTAGAATGGTTGTATCAGAGTTGACTTTATATATAGATACTTTGCAGCACTGTACTTGAATTTGTGTTCTATTTCCCGTCTATAGTTTTTGAGTTCAAAAAATTTATTTCACTTTAAAATGTTCTCTTTATATTTCTCTGGTTATGCTATTTTGATATTACCTGTTTTTGTTTTTTTTTTAAATGTTGGTCCTTTTGCATATTTATTTCCCCTTTTCTGGTTTTATTATTTCATTATGTCCATGAAAAAGAGTTTGCTATTTTGAGTGTTAGAAAATAGAAGAGTAAATGAAGAACATTGATCAGGCCTGCAAAAATTAAAATTTTAAAAAATTATGTTGCTTTGTCTACATTAAAACAAATGTTTTGTGCATGATTAATACAAACTTTTTCATTCCCTGGCATTTGTTCAATGAGTAATGAATAGTGTAATGTTACTTTTTACATAAATGCCATTTTTGTAAGCTCACTGTCTAAATATTTACTCCCCTAGGCACTTGCCAGTTTTTTTTTATATATTAAAGGTCATCAAGAATGAATTAATCATTCAGCATTAGTAATACAATTGGACGGCTCAAGAAGAGGTTTCAGTATACAAAGTACATTGGAAAGTCTGCTCAGAAATATTGGACTAGTCCGATCACAGATAAAATGTTTAGACACTACCTTCCATGCATGGGTTTGTGCATTTGTGTGTGTCTATCCGCAAGAACATCTCATTAGTTAACACTAATAGAGTGAAATCAGCAAAGAATTCATCAAAGTATTTTTTTATTGTTTTCAATGGGCTCTCTTTTATGAGTGCTCTGAGTATCAAAATAGAGCTGAAATTAAAAATGTGCTTGGTAATACTCATTTGTGATGATTTTTTAGATAAACAAGTTAATTCTATTCTATACATAAAGTTGGTTGTTTGAAAGATGTAATTGTTACATACAGGCTCTTGGATCAGAAATGAAGAACCTTGAGCTCATTTCTTAGATAAAGTCTATTGGCCAAAAGAAACCAGTTTAACTGCTGGCATATCAAAGTTTGTCAAAATTAGATAGGAGAAAAATAAAACAGAAAGTTTTTGCTCCAAGATGACAAATAAGGATTTAAGCTTTTAAAATCTGATGTTATGAGTTAGTACTCAGGATGCTGCCAAAGATGAAAGCATGTTATAGAGAAAAAAGGACTACATGCCAACTCCCTATGAGATTCCCTGCGTTTATCTCTAAGCACCGCCGTGAAGAACCCCAGGATTGCTTCGTTAGGCTTTGTTAGTCCCTTAGATATGCTTACTAATTGAGAGTAGTGTGGTGGGCAACACTTGCTTGGCACTTACTCCTTCTTTGAGAGGAATTGGGACACCATACTAAAGAATCTTAGAAAAAAAGGAATTTGATGCATTTTTGTGCGTGTGTGGAATTGAAATGAAGAAGGGTGGCTACTATTATTTAGATCTAGTGTTATTTAGAAAATAAGGTGGTTCACTCAGGAGAACATGAGAAGAGTGAGCAAATTTATACAAGACTGGCCGTAACTCCTCTGATAGGAGTCGTGTGTCGGGTCTGATCTGAAGATGCTGTGAAAATAGGGGTCATTCAACTGTAGGTCTTAGAGATCTATACATCTGTACCTGATATTATGTACACATATACATTTCAAACAGTACATTTTACTGTTTCGATTTTGTAACTAAAAATTTCTATAAAAACATGGTTTTCGTAGGCCTTCCAAAAGGAATTGGGGAAGAGGACCAGCAGCGTGCAGGCCCTGAAGCGCTCGGCCCGAGAGCTCATAGAAGGCAGCCGAGATGACTCCTCCTGGGTCCAGGTCCAGATGCAGGAGTTAAGCACACGCTGGGAGACCGTGTGTGCACTTTCTGTATCAAAGCAAACGCGATTAGAAGCAGCTCTGCGGCAGGTAAAAGTCATGTAAATTCCAGCTGGGCATAGTGAGAAGGTATTGAAGTCTCAACAAGAAATATGCTCATGAAGAACTGTGAAGCTCCTCATTTCTTCACCAGGACAGTCACGGAGAAGGAAATTCTTATAGCATCATTGCCTTGGTCCTTTTCCTGAGTTCCTCTCCCAAGAATTTCAGTTACTACAGAGGGAGGTTTTCTAATCTTCACATGAAAGTGCTGCTTGAGTAATTTTTCAGCTTAACTCTATAATGGGCTGCCAGTTATCTAAAATCAGATTGTTAAAATGGTGAATTATTCTTCATTTAAGCCTTTCTGATATATTAGATGTTTTCTTACATTTGTAAAACGCAGCACCATATATCTTTATCTTTTTAATGGGAATAGTGCCTATAATGAATTAATTTTGTTTTCATTAAGAGGAAAAATCTACTACACTAACAAGCGTGTTTGGGAATCTTGTTTGGGGTGTGTGTGTCTCTGTGCACTGTCAGGCGGAGGAATTTCACTCGGTGGTACATGCCCTCTTGGAGTGGCTGGCTGAAGCAGAGCAAACCCTTCGTTTCCATGGCATTCTCCCAGATGATGATGATGCTCTTCGGACTCTCATTGATCAGCATAAAGTGAGTTACTTAAACGCCAAGTAAAACTAAATGAGAAAATCAAACAAAGTAGAGGAAATAGACTCATGATTGCAAATGTCAACTGTATGAATATTTTCCTTCCTGAGAGATAATTAAAGATCTGGTACATTTGAGAATTTACCCGTGCGTTCCTTGCTTACCTAGGTATGTTTCCGTGCTCCTAGATACGCAGGTATATATAGCTATCTTTTCATTTTTTTTTTTTAATAGAGAAAAAATAATCATTTTTTAAAAGAAAATGATTATTCTAAAATTAGTCACTCTGCTTCCTATCTTTAGGAAGCACATTGATTTTTCTAGTGGGTTATTTGCCTTCTGACCAAAATTGGTCAATTTTGTTGCACTTTCATGTGCATTTTAGGGATGAAACTTCCTTAATGAGCAGTTTGGAAGAATTATACCATTAGAATTGTAAATTAATAATTTGACTTTTATAAGCAAGAAAAGGAGATAATTTAATAACTGGTCTTCAAATTGTATTTTTAAGCCTCTGCCAATTCTGTTTTTTAATTGAGTCACCTTAAATTCTTTTAAAAACTCTAATATAAATTATAAATTAAAAAATCAATTATACAAGTAGATATGCTATTGAATAAATTAAGTAAAAATCTGGCCATTGAGTTTCCGATCCAGCTCTTTCCTGTGATAATGTATTAAACAGCAAAACCCCTAAGAGAGTGGTTCAGAGAGCTCTTAACATGTTTTTTAACCTTTGACTCTAAAAATCAGGAATTTGCAATACTACCACTCAAAATGTATTGATGTTAGCATTTCCTATTAACTTTAAAGAATCCCTTTCACCATTGAAGGTCGAGGTCAGGTTGGAAATACATCATTAATTCTAGTGTAGCATGGATTACATCATCTACAGAGTCTTCTTATTTTAACTGCTATGCTCTCTCAGTGATAGGTTGCATAACCTATAGCAATGAAATATTGCTTTGTCATTAATAAAAGTGATGTGAGCTTCTGTGACATTATCTGGAGGAATGAAATGCTACATACACCATTTAATGTTGAAGTTAGGATGTAAGAGTAGGAAAATTACATCAAACTTATTGTAAATTTTAATTCAGTTCAATATTTTTGAAAGTCTAGTTTATATTATATTACATAGGCTAGTCATCAGCCAGCATTGAGTTCCTCTAACGTACTTAGCCTTGGGTCTCAGAGTAGTCCCTTGAAGCCCAGTGTTCATATCTAACATCCTACAAAAAAAAGCCCACTTATGGTCTCACCACCCTCACAGCAGCACCAGGAAACCCCTAGAAACATCAGGAGGCAGAAATCTAGAGCAGAGGTAGTGGTTTTTTCAAATACAATAGGTCTTCCAATAATGTCATTTCATTATAACGTTGATGAGGTGCTGTAGGAACCTAACTCTTGTTTATACTAATTAACCTATGCTAAAATTGGTTTTGTTAAGTCTGAAGTTGCAGTGTTAACCCATCGACAGTGTTAAGTGAGGACTTACTATAATTGTCTTTCAATATTTTAAAATAGCATAAGCCATTTAAATAACATGTAATGTTATAAAGGGCTTCTTAGTAATGATATTTTGCAATAACATTACTCATACTTTTTCATTTCCTTTGCTTCCCTTCACGCATTCACCAATAAGAGAAAAACAGAATATTTAATTTAATTTCTTAGCCCTGGGACTGAAACTTCTCAGCATAATTCAGTTTCTGAAAATGGCAAGCTTTCTCACGTGAGCACAAACCAGTAAGGTAGCACTCAGATGAGATTGGAAGAGTACAGACAACGTAGCAGAGAGGTGACATTCCAGGCAGGATTAGGGTTTTCTAGGTGTAGAAGTGATTAAAAGTACATGGTAAGATCATCTGCCCTCTGGAAAAAAGGACAGCTGTTATTAACCTCTGGATTTCTCTTCCTAGTAAGGTTTTTTCTTTTTCTTTTAAGAAGGTACATGTTGGGGAAAATTAAAATATTTTTAGAAGTAGGCCATGGTATTTAAAAAGTAGGTCATATTAGTTAAGTGTATTGTTCAGTGAACCTTGACTCCACAGCAGAAAAAAAAAAGTGTAAATAAAAGGTTAAAAAGCATTTATTTAATCACAGAGACACAAAATTGAATAAGACAGTCTTGATTTGGTGGACCTTAAGATCTAGTAGATATGTATGTAAACAAATTATTTTAGCACAACAAAATGCCCAAGTAGGAGGTATACGACAGAGCTGCTTCACAGAGATTAAAAACAAAAGGTCACTAGACTTTGTAGTAAACACCCATATTTTCAGATGATCATCCCAGTCACATGGCATGAGTAGCATGAGTGTCAGCTATGTTTGCAGCCTCTGGCACCCTTGTCAGTGTGATCAAGGAACCCTTCTTAGCATGGAGGTCCAGATAGATTAGAGTGTCTATGGATCCCTTTAATCCTGTGTGAGGTTTTGGAAGCATGTCACCCATTTTAGGGCAAAGGTCCTCATTTTTTAACCACGCTTGCAGAGTTCTGTGATCCATGTATCTGTGGATACAGTTTTGATGGTAGAAAGTAACAGTGATGTATGTGAGACATTTATAAAAAAAGTTCATTCAAAAGCCTTTCCTTGGACTTGTTGAGGCTTACTTATCCTGCTGGGGCA